ATGTTTTTAAATGTTGACAATTTTGTGTGCTTTTGTCTGTGTACGCGCGAGAGAGAACTCAATGCGCTCCTGGCGCGCTGTTTGAAGCGGCATTCTCTGCGCGTGCATGACATGTGTACGTTAACAGACAGCGTGCCAGTAACGTTACAGAATTAACTTCTCGTGTGTGTGTGTGTGTGTTTAACATAAGACAATAAAATGTCTAAACCTACCTCGTTTGGCAGAAAAGCTGTGTTATCCTTGAATTCCGCGATGTCAGATCTTCACCTAGTTGTATAATCTCTCTTAAATAAAAAAAATAATAAAAAAAGTCGTAATGCTGTCGTCTTTTCTTGACAATTGCTCTGCCAGCTCCTGTTGAAGACATTAAGTGATCTAAACACCGGTGTACCCAGGGCTGGGGAGTAACAAAATACATGTAACGGCGTTACGTATTTAAAATACAAAATATGAGTAACTGTATTTCGTTAGAATTACATTTTAAATAAGTGGTAATCAAATTACAGTTACATCTGAAAAGTATTTTAGATTACCAAAGTGATTACTTTGAATTTTAATGTAATTTCTTAATTTAATATTTAAGTTTGGGGATTTTAACCGATAAGGCTCATCACGACACAAAAATGGACGACACAACAGAAAGCCATTCGCGTAATGCATTTCTCTCGTGGAAATACAAAGTCTATTTACTTATATATCTGAAAAAGGACATAACATCTCAGCACAATCCAATGCCTACGTTACCTGCAACAAAAACTTCTATCAGCATCTAAGGATTCAATGTCTAATCTGAAAAAGTATCTTGAGGGAATTTGTTTTGATCTTTGAAAAATTTTATCCAGTAACTCGTTTTTCTATTTTCTCATATTTTGAGTGTTGAATGGTTATTACGTTTAATATTTCTAAGAATTTAATTGAAAAATTCTTAGAATTCACACTTTGCATTCAGTTAACAGATCCATACGAATCATGCATGAAATAATAAAAGCAGTCAAACGATAGCTTTGTGTGCTTTACAGATGAATTTGAAGACTTTATTAATTTGAAATGTTAGATTATCTTTGGCGCGGTAATGTGAGTTCGTGAACCGATGATTATTTTGATTCAATCTTTTAAATGAAGAATTTATTTTGTTTAACGAAACCAGTGTGAATGGTTCACATTAAACTGGATAGATCTGGGGTGTTTCCCAAAAGCCTCGTTAGCGAACGGTGTTTGGTAAATTACATTGAACTATAACAACATTAAGTTACTTGCGACCGTAGTTGCTTTGGGAAACGAGCCCTGTCAATTTTGACTTGGCGATCCTTTTGTGCCGATCGCTTCTCCATAGAGAGGATTATCAGTGAAGTAATCACTTAAAGTTTTGTCCATTCATTTAAACATATCTATTGTATAACTTGGAGAACTGTGCCAGTTGTTTTGGCTACTTTTAAAATATGTCTGGTGTGTCTGGATTCCTTTTGAAGCTTGGAATGCAGCATGAAACATCACGGAATCCCATTCATTGTATTCAAATTGAATTTATATTGATTGGTAGATTTAAATGACACAACATTTTTTTGTTGTTCATAGAAATGCTGTGGAAAACTGATGTTGTTAAAAATATAAAAGCAAGGAAAACGCAAATCTTATGACAGGTAGATGTCACTTTTATTTAGAGAAAACATAAAAACGCTCTCGGTTACTCACTTGACCTCGGTTCCCTGAGATGAGGGAATGAGACATTGCTATGGGAATTACCCTTTCCTCCAAATACTACTGAAGCCTTATTGAATCACGCCAGTGAAACTGGCCAATGGCGTTCAAGCGCGCGAAATATGAGGGGCTCCCACTCTATATAAAGCAACGCTTGTACGTCATCTATTCAGAATCTTGACTGAAGCAACTTGGCATTCTAAGATCCTGAGCTAGGTGACACGTAGTGCTGGCTGGTATACCAGTTCATACCGAATACCGGTGTTTATTTTTGTTATGATGTGAATTTTTAAAATACCACAATATGCTTGGGGATTTTAACCAACATTCGGAACGTGACACCGTTTGAAAGGGGTTCCTTTTCACTGTTGCACTGTGGTGAGGGAACAGCTGTATGTGTTACTAAGCGTGAAAGTTCCGAAAGCGACTTTTTTTTGGATAAACTTGGCTATGGTTCAGTTGGAAGATTTGGCCAGTGCTGTCCCGCGAACACGAGGTCTGACTTTCCCGGAGAAGTGTCACCTCTCTCGGCGTCTGTTCTGTGCAGTGAGCTGCAGAGAAGCAACGCCGCACCGCAGCCGACTCGTCAATAAATTAGTACAAAACCGCATTTCCTAGCACCTGTCGCTTACTGATTGTTTGGAATTATAAATATGAGTGTAGTTCGTCTGTTAATATCACATGCACTTTTTTGTTTGTTGTTTTTTTTAGGTTGTTACTCAGACGCAGGCAGTGCGCTGCATGAGACAAAAAAGTAGTATAGCCAAACCAACCGCATAGCCGCTCTTTAGTGTAGATGCATGTTGATTTTATCAGACGATGCCGCGATTATAAATGAGAGTGACTCCTGATTAACATGTATTAAAAGGGGTCGTGTTTAGTCACTATTTAGTGTAGTATTTTTTTGACAATATTCACTCATCATGACCGTAAAATAGGGCATTCTAAGTCAGTATTTCCTCTCTCAATCAGTAGAAAATATGGTTATCACCCTGTCATGCATGGAAAAAAAAAAATACAGTCATGTACCGTTAAACCGGTATAATTTTGAAAAATACTGTGATTAAAATGTTTTGGTCATACCGCCCAGCACTAGTGACACGGCAATAAGAGCAATGTCTTGTTCCCTAATCTCAGGGAACCAAGGTTACGTGAGTAACCGAGAGCGTTTCATTTCGATTCGGTCACTCTACATTGCTATGGGAATGTATAAAATCCCGCCGTGTCACAGCGATGAGTCTGGCTCGACTAAGTATGTCAAGTTTCACATACGGAACCGTAATGAGAGCAGCAATGATATCGGCACTCTTGTTAAACAGTTCAGGTCTACAGGACCTAGTCGAAACCATGTAAAAGTCAAGGGGTGCGCGGCAACTAGACGATGCCGCGTCACACCAGGGGCCGAGTTAACGCCAGTCTCCGGCGCCATCACATATAGATTAGTTGAAGTTTGTTTAATTTCAATGAAATTGTGTTATGATGCAGCGGCCGTACCGGTGCTCAACTAAGCAGAGTATGATCGTGATCATGTCCTAAAAGATGTGATTAACAATATCATAATGCGATAAGCTGATAGGGACCGCATTGAATTAGTGATACGTCAATACAGGGGTGTATACGACCTAGTCAAAACCACTGAGGCAAGCAGCTCAGATCATAACTGAGGCCGAGTAGGCGTGTGCGCTGCTCGCACTGACAGCACATGTGAGCCAAGCGACGACACATCTAGGTTATAAAACCTTGCGAAAGTGCTGGGTGACGACACGACCGGCCTGCCGCCATGCAAATGTCCTGAATAGATATGCCATTTGCCCAGGCCCACGAGGACGTGAGTCCGCGGGTTGAGTGGGCCCGAATTGGGCTGAGCAATATAGCTGAAAAATGTGTCAACGATATAATGTTTCATATCGTTCGGTATCGATAATTATTTAAATTTGTAATCTTTTTTTTTTTTAAACAAAGAGCAATAGAAAAAACCTTTTAAATTTAACCACTGTATTTTTTAATTAACCCAATTGATTGAGACAAACAACAAATATTTTTTGTTTTAACAGTCAAACACAAAATAAAAATGAAACTAATATCTAATTTCTAATGTTTTATATGCAGATTAAATAGGTCTGAAGGAAATTTTTGGCTTGTCTCCCGAGGCCACAGGAGGGCGCAATAAGCAAAATAATGCAGTGCATTAAATTGCCAACGCAAAGGAAATAACTGTCTATAAAAAGAAAAACGTTTATTACGTCTAAATTAACTCCTATAATCAAACATGATTTCGTAAATTGCATAAACAATTATGAACAAAACAGCATCACATATTTATGCATTGCTTAATACAAAGAGCTGAATCACCCATCATGCAGATTGCATTTAAAAACATATGAGACTCAGTGAAACGGAATAAACCTCCACAAATTCGTGACGCGTTTTCTAAAAGTTTAAACTGTTTTAACTTCACATGGCTTTCTATACAACTCTTGTGTGAGACGTGAGAGCAGCAGTCATATTTGTCCATCTAAAAAATGCACTGAATATGCGTTCTGTGTGAATGGCTTGGTTTCGGTTTTAACCTAATCAAGATCTTCTACGCATTGAGCTACTATATTTCTCTTATATTTTGAATGAATAACGCAGCAGCGGCGCGTCTTATGGGCTAGACTTATAAAACATTAAAATGCAACAACGTCACTTACATCATGATCACCGCATCTCGCGCTCCACTAATGACGCTCCCAGACGCACACCTAACATTTGATTGTACTATTTTGCAGTCAAATGCAATTGTTTATTTTAAATTCGACGACTATTCATTATTATTTTTTTTTTCACAATCTCCTCATCACAGGCAGCTACAGCACTCAGTTCAGCATGTGTTTGTGTGTGCGGTCTGCGTCACTCATAGCACGTGCCTATAGCGTGCGCTATGTCAAATATTTTTTCTATCGTTATCGAAGAGGGTGTACCGTCGATAAATATCGATACCGTTTTATCGCCCAGGCCTAGGCCCGAACGCCTATAGGACATTTCACGCCCTTAGAGCCATAAGCCAAAGCAATTGCGTCGACGATCCAGTGTGACAGCCTTTGCTTGTACACTGGCAGGCCTTTTGTGCGCCCTCCAAAGCATACAAATAGCTGGTCCGAGAGCCTGAACTGTCTACAGTGCTCGGTATAAATGCGCACGGCACAGCAAAAGTGTATTAAGTGGCTCCTGCCCGGCCAGTGTTTCGGGACGGAAAGCAGATAGTGTTATGACCTGTGATTTAAATGGAGTCGAAAGCACCTTTAGATTGGCTTGTATATCTACTGATTGGCTTCATCACTCTGTCTCCTCTCCACCAATAAGCTGGTGTGTGGTGGGCGTTCTGGCGCACTATGGCTGCCGTTGCATCATCCACTGATGGTGGATGAGGAGATACCCCCTGACAATGTAAAGAGCTTCGAGTGCCATCAGAGAGTTTGTTTGGCTCTGCGTTGGAGAGGCAATCGCGAGTCATCCTTGTTTCTGAAGTTCACCGGAACACAGTAGGGGAAGAGAAGGCGTGTCCACTGCAGCATGTAGATCATGGTGAGTAGTCTTGTTGATGGGCTTCTTGCTTCTCGTAGAAGGTTGACTGAAGAAAAAGATTCTGAATAGATGACGTACAAGCGTTGCTTTATATAGAGTGGGAGCCCCTCATATTTCACGCGCTTGAACGCCATTGGCCAGTTTCACTGGCGTGATTCAATAATGCTTCAGTAGTATTTGGAGGAATGGGTAATTCCCATAGCAATGTAGAGTGACTGAATCGAAAGGGAACAAGACATTAATATGTTCCTTTGTGTATAGCTTAAGTATTTCAAAGTATTCTAAAGTATTTAGATTAGGTTACTAAACCAGAGTAATCTAACGAAATACATTACTGATTACTTTTTAAAGCATGTATTTTGTAATATGTAGTGAAATACATTTTAAAAGTAACCTTCCCAGCCCTGGTTGTACCGCACTTCAGATTTAACGTTATCACAGCTGCTTAACATTACCTCAGTAACGTTAATATGCCGATGCTTTACGACAACGCTCAGTAACAAATGCACCGCATCAACAACAATTAAAAGTTCATAAACATTTATTTATAAAACTGAAAGTGAGCACACTGTAACGCGTACCTCCACGTCGAGTAAGATGTGACGGTATGCTGAAAATGTTGAATGCGACGGCTCCGTCATTCATTTGCCAAACAAGCCAGACCGCAACGAAGTTAACGAACGTTACAGTTTGTTACATTTAACAAAAAAATTATTTACCACGAAAGTCTAAGAACAGTTCCCCAAATCCGACTTAAAATTACATTTTGACCTAGACTATCTCCGTGAATAATGGCGCCTGCTCAAGCACTGTTTTTGCTCCGATAATCGACTGAGCTTCTTGTTCCCACAATGCAAAGCGTAATTAAAAAAATATGGAAAACACCTGTAAAAACCAAATACGGAAAATTCCTTCAAAGTATTATGGTATATTGTACTGTATTATTTTTTTTACAGTGCAGCCTGGAACAGATAGACAGCGGCTGTAAGAACTTGAGTACATAAAGAGCCACAAATAATTGAAAGAAAACCCTTTAGATGACGTTAATAAAATGCCTTTTTCTAGCCTGCACTGTTGTGCAGTGTGTATTAGCCTACATAGGGCTGCACTGTATTTTAGCTCCATTGGATTAACTTACAAAAAATACTGTATCAGTACCATGGCTCAATATTTGATATTTAACAGAAATTAAATTGTACTTTCAAGAATACCATTGTATTACTGCGGTGGCCTACCATTCAAAAGTTTGGGGTCTATAAGATTTTTTTGTATGTTGAATGTTAAATTTTAATTGAAAAAAGTCTCTTATGCTCACCACCAAGGCATTATTTATTTATTTGTTCAGAAATACAGTAAAAACAGTAATATATTTCAAAATACAATTTACTCCTGTCATGCAAAGCTGAATTTCAGCAGCCTTTACTCCATTCTTCAGTGTCAGATGTTAGAAACCATTCTAACATTTCTTATTATTATCAGTGTTGAAAACAGTTGTGCTGCTTAATATTTGTATGGAAACAGTGATAAGTTTTTTCCAGGATTCTTTTTTTTTTTTGTAACAATGTCTTTACTGTCACTTTTGGTTAATTCAATGCATCTTCACTGAAACCTCGGGAAATAATTTTGAGCCCAGTATTCTGATCAAAGTCCCAAAATGTCAGGGCGTATTTATGCCGTTAATGGCCAAAGTTCAGGTCAACTAAATGTCAGTTATGATCCTTCTGATATTTATAGAGCGATTGTTTATTTATTATTAGTGTACACAGTGTCTGTAATGATATGGGTAACTGAGTGGAGATACTTCCTTGTGTTTATTATATTACTGTCTATATTACAGTAAAGTGTACGGCCTGTCAAGATTCCATAGCCCGTGTGAAACTAGACCATTACGTTTCTGTTAGAATTGAATATGTAACATATGGCACTGAAGCATTGATCACTGTAGCCAATCACAGACATATCTGTTGAGCGCGTGAACACAATGGCCAATCAGAGCTCTTTAAGAATCCGCTGAACAGCGCTCAAAAGGCTAGTGGGAAATGCTGGTATCGTCACATTTTTTAAATTTCAGTACCGACTGGTATCAAATTCGGTACTTTTTGACAACCTTACTTCCTAAGGTAAACAACACACGCACAACCGGCCACCCACCTGATCTAAAAGACTTGGCAACCTTCTTCCATTGCTGCATGGTCCAGTTCTGATGCTCAGGAGCCCTTTGTACATTCAGTGGAGGACAGGGGTCATCATGGGCTCTCTGACCGGTCTGCAGCTCCATACGCAGCTCCATACGCAGCAAACTGTGTGTTCTGACACCTTCCTATCATGGTCAGCATTAAGTTTTTCAGCAGTTTTGTAGTACAGTAGCTGTGTTTCCCCTAGGTTTACGGCTTTTTAAAAAAAAAATTCTTCTGGACTCCTTTAAATGGTTAAATTAAATTGTATTAATCAAAAGCATGTATAGTTAATTAAAATCATGAAACTTAAACAATTTAACATCAATTTATTAAAGGCCCTAGGAAATGTTTTATTTTTTGTATTTAAATTTAAGGCATAAACATTCATTTAATCTATCTTTTTAAGTAATGAAAATTAAAAAAAAAATTTTTTTTGTGGAAAATAAAGGTCATTTAATATTACAATTAAAACTGAAGAAATATTGTATGATTATTCCTTAAAGGGGTCATATGATGTTGCTAAAAAGAAGATTATTTGGTGTAATGAAATGTGTTTATGCGGTTTAAGGTAAAAAAAAACACATTATTTTCCACATACTGTACATTATTGTTTCTCCTCTATGCCCCGCCTTTCTGAAACGCATTCGATTTTTACAAAGCTTAGCGGTCTGAAAAGCAAGGTGTGCTGTGATTGGCCAGCTATCCAGTGCGTTATGATTGGCCGAATACCTCAAGCGTGTGACGGAAATGTTATGCCCCTTACCATACTGTGATGATGCCCTGTCAGGCCGGAGCGATGATTCAAAAACATGAAAACCCATTATGAACGGGCATTCGTTGCATCCAGTGGGGACATAATTATGGATTATAATTACTTGTACTGTCTTTTTACACGTTGTGTTGCATCGCGCTGTGTAAACCTAACACCATGTCTGCATTTGTGATCGGAGAAATTAAACCAAACTTTTATTTTGACGGGTTTCCGTGAATACTTTTACATTTCTGTGTGTATATGATATGAGGATAGTTTTAATCAAATTAAATGGTCAAATGCTCATGAAGTAAATCTCAGAGCAGTTCTGGAGATGTTGTTCATGTAGGCCCTATGTATGTCCTCATTAGTGAGACGGCAGATGTTAATATCACCGGAAGCGTCACTCGCGCTTCAGTACAAGTAGTAAACAAAACCGCGCGTCTGCGCCATTCATTAACACCGAGACATGCAGAATTAATATTTAAATAGTCGTTTTGCAGCTTAATATTTACAGATATTAGTGGGAGTGCATGCACATCGGGGCGGAACTCCACTGTGCATGATACAGAGAGTGCAACCATAACGTAGAGATCGAAATGACATGCCATCATGTAAATAAGATAAATAACATAAGGCTATTTAGTTTGTTTAATAAAAGAACAAGGTATAGATCCGTTCTATCGGAAAGGTAACTTTAAATGACTTCTGTTGTGATCTGGCGCTATAGAGAAAATATAATTAAATAAAATTAACTTGACCTTCAAAGGGGGCGGGGGGTGCCGTTGGGTTGGCAGGCTGCCCCCCTAATATAATGGCAGGGGAAACACTAGCTCTTCTGTGTGATCGGATCAGACGAAGTAACCTTCGCTCCCCAATTGCATCAATGAGCCTTGTACGCCGGTTCATCAGTTGCCCTTCCTTGTACCAGTTTTGTAGGTACTAACCACTGCATACTAGGAACAACCCACAAGAGTAGTTGTTTTGGAGATGCTCTGAACCAGTCGTCTAGCCACCATTATTTGGCCTTTGTCAAAGTCTCTCAAATCTTTTAGCTTGTCCATTTTTCCTGCTTCTATACTTGAAATTGAAGAACGGACTGTTCACTGTTCACAGACTTCACACCCCTTGACAGGTGCCATATATATCATATTCCACATCCAAGTGATAAATTCAGTCCATTGGGCCTGCCGCCTGCAACAGGGTTTTGAGAGGGAGAAACATGAATGCCATCTTTGTGTTTGCTGAGCTAGTTTCATGTGCGGCAGACAGGTGATTGGAACAATGTGAAAAGTTACTGCTCATGCCATCAGACTGACATCAGCAGAAGAGAAAGTTGCTTCAGAGAAAGAATAAGTAATATTTTGATTAAACGTTACAAAGAGGGTGCATTTATAAAGTAAATGGAGTAAAAAAAAAATGATGCAAAAACATCTGCTGGTGGCCACAAGCATTTTGTTTCTGAGCTGCGGAATGGCCTCCCTTCTTACTCCAGAGGAGTTCATCCCGATTACTGGAATTAGACACACTCCCAAGTGTATATTACAACATTCCTGTCCACTTAAGCATGTGGCTAGCTCAGTGCATGCATATACACTTAAACATAATTGGACTTAGGGATCGCTCCGATACTGGCATTTTCTGCTGGATCGGGGTATCGGTCAGATGAGTCTAATCCAAATCCGATATAGTGCGTATACTATTGTGTTATTAAGCCCCACGAAAGCCACAAAAACATTTATAAAGGATTTTATTTTTAACAAAATGAGATTTTAGGCCTAAACAAATTATAAATTAAATGTGTCTTTTTATTATTGTTTGGACAAAATGCTGCCCATTTCTTTGTGAAATTTAAATATAACACTATAATAATATACTAATATAGCACTTGCATATTATTTGTTGGTTTTGATTGCTTCTATTGTCCTCATTTGTAAGTCGCTTCCCTAGACCAACAATACATTACAACAATACAAATGCATTTGATTTATTATTTATTTGTTTGTTTGTTCATATAAGCCAGGGGAGTCAAACTAAATTCCTGGAGGGCCGGAGCCCTGCAGAGTTTTGTTCCAGCCCTGCTCCAACACACATACCATGTAGTTTTCAAATAAACCTGAAGGAACTGATTAGTACGATCAGGTGTGTTTAATTAGGTTTGAATCTAAACTCTGCAGGGCTCCTGCCCTCCAGGAATTGAGTTTGACACCCCTGATATAAGCTATATGTAATATCTGTTTCCACATGCTTAAATCATTAGAGAAATATTAAATATTGCCTTTTGTCTCTTTTTTTGTCTTTTTTCAGTTGGTGTATGAGTTTTTCCTTCGATTCCTAGAAAATCCAGACTTCCAGCCAAGTACTGCCAAACGCTACATTGACCAGAAGTTTGTACTACAGGTATATGAACTTTGAATGAAAGGGGTCATCAAATGTTGCTAAAAATAACATTATTTTATGTATTTGGTGTAATGAAATGTTTATGCGGTTTAAGGTAAATAAAAACACATTATTTTCCACATACTGTACATTGTTTCTTCTCTATGCCCGCATTTCTGAGACACGTCGATTTTTACAAAGCTCATCGGTCTGAAAAGCGAGGTGTGCTCTGATTGGCCAGCTATCCAGTGCATTCTGATTGGCCGAATACCTCAAGCGTGTGACGGAAATGTTACACCCCTTACCATACTGTGATGCCGTGTCCCAGCCGGCGTTGCATCGCACCACGTAAACTTAAAACCATGTCTGCATTTGTGATTGGAGAAATGACAAACAACAAGCACTACTCTACACTGCTCAAAACTCGCGTTTGAATCATCAGTGGCAAATCCTTCAAATGAAAACATACTTACAGTCTGTGAGTCAGAACAGCCGGCATTGTAGTCTACTCTCCCAGGATCAGGAAACAGTCCTCCATAAAATGCGCTGCACACATCTAAATATTTGGTTTGAACTGTTCTGGAACAGTGTTGTAAATACAAAATAACCACTGATTTCTAGTTGTGTCCTCTATTGGAAGGCCAAACAAAGTATTTTCGCTTTCACAAGCATCACACACGGCTGGCTAGAGTGAGCGGCAGCCGGCGGGCTAGAGTGAGGAACGGTTGGCGGATTCGACGAAGGAGCGGCCGGTGAGTTTGCAGCAACCACATGTGACGACCCCGGACTGGACTCCGCTTTGTCCACGGTGAAAGCCGATCCGGCAATCCACAGCGCGAAGTTGATGTATTTCCTCAGCGACCAGCACGGATCAGCTCCAGGCATGACGAAGCAGATATCGTCCTCTTTTGGAAGGCCAAACAAAGTAGTTTCGCTTTCACAACGAAACACACAGCGTCTCCACAACCTCATGGAGGCGACAACAACAATACTACAGTGAGAATAAAAGTTACGCCTTCTTTCTTTGCGTGAACATTTGGGCGGCGTTATGCAAATCTTCCCACACAGTGACATAGACATGTGGGGGCGTGTTAGAACGAGCCGTTTTAGGTAGGCGTGGTTGACTCTTAACTTTTATAAAGAATATCTCTTTGGATTTGAGACTTTAGTCTTTGCAACTTTACAGATCTTCTTTATGCACCAAGAGCTTGTAACACTCCAAAGAGAAAGGAAAAATTGAAATCGCATCGTATGACCCCTTTAATGAATCAATTGTAATTATATGAATATATTATAAAAATTACATTATTTATTTATTGTTATGTTTCAGAAAATTATACTTTGTAATTATTAGTAATAATTTTTTTTATTTTTCTGGGCATTTGCCATTTTATTTTAAAGGAGCATAATCTTATATATAAGATATTAAGACTTGAATATATTCCTCTTCATTTTTTTTTAATTTGATTTTTTATGTTGTTTTAAGCAAACATTTTAACGGTTTTGTGAGATCTATCCTAAAACACACCAATTTGATATCCTTTGTATTAAATGGGGAATAAAGAGAAGAAAAATAAGCATAGTTAAAGATATATTCTTAAAACAAGTTGTATCTTACACCGTTTTGGTCCTGAAGTAAATTTAACCTGTTTTGAGGATTTTTAGAAACGGTAAAACAAAATACAGATTAAGAAAATGCGTTCTTGTAGGAGACTACTTAATAGCAAATATATTTAATATCCCTTCCCTGACTTTTACAGCTGAAATGGTAAATATTTAGAAATATGAAATTGCATGCTTGGCAGGCCTGGTCTCTTCCTCTTTTGGATCTGCCTTATTCTGTTCCTGCGTAAAGCAGTGGGTCATCAGCTGTCCGTATCGACCCGGTCATTCCCCCTGAGTGCACTGAATGCTCTGGAATGTAGAGTCAGTGTGGAAGCTGGTAAAGGCAAGTTTCCACGATGTGAGCGTTTCCTGGGCTGCTTTAAATAGCACTCTGTTGTTTACACCACAGGAAGGAAAGAGTCAGCACTGTAGTGCAGGCTGGGATGGAGAACATAATGACAGACAGCAGACACAACACAAAAAGAGTTCTTCTAGTAGAGATGTGGTAGTGATAGTGTTACTGGATTCCTGTTGTTTTTTGCTCCAAATTGTTCCTTTTGGAGATGCTGTTGTACAGAAATTACGCAACTGCATTTACTACCATTTTGGTGTATTTTTGAAAAACGGAATATGCAATAAGATGGTACTTGATTTTTATTAATTTTTTTTAGTTTTATTATATATATATATATATAAGATAGAGAGTATATTATGCTCAACAAGGCTGCATTTATTTAATTATAAGTGCACTAAAATATTATGAAATATTATTACAATTTAAAATAATTGTTTTCTTGTTTAATATATTTTAAAATGTAATTTATTCCTTTGACACTGCTGAATTTTCAGCATCATTACAGTCTTCAGTGTCACATGATCCTTCAGAAATCTTTCTAATATGCTGATTTGCTGCTCGAGAAACAATTTCTTATCATTATTAATGTTGAAGACAATTGATGCTTAATATTTTTGTGGAAACTGTGAAACAATGAATTGAAGGTTCAAAAGAACAGTATTTATTTATTTTTATAAAAAAATTTTTTAACAATGTAAGAGTCTCTTTTGATCAATATAATGCATTCTTGCATGAAAGTTTAAAAGATTTTAATAAAGGTTTTTTATAAAAAAAAATACTCATAAATGTTTGGATGTAAGTGTATATAAAATGTTTTTTTATTTCATATATATATATATATACAATGGGGAAAAAAAAGTATTTAGTCAGCCACCAATTGTGCAAGTTCTCCCACTTAAAAAGATGATAGAGGCCTGTAATTTTCATCATAGGCATACCTTGGTGACCACTTAACTGCTTGAATGAATTAAATTTCCATTCGAAAGTGCTTTATTTTTGGGTGATAAAGCTATGGTCAGCTGGTCTTGCATTCCAGCTTATTCGTAGTGATCTATTTAAACAAGCCCTGCATGTGGAGGATGAGCATTTATAATCCTGTTTGAATTTTGATTTAGAGTTACTAATGTTTTAGACATCACTAACGGCCTCATGAATGTGATTGAGGTTGAACTCATTTACTAATAATGTCATGTTGTATAAAGGCTGTTGTCAAATACATCACTCATGACAGGGATTCATTGTCTGGAGGCTAAAGGTAGCATTGCATAACACAGTCCTGTGCAGACAGTCTAATGTGACATAAGAGTTGATGCTGCCAGATCAAACCATTCCATTAAACCTTCCATTAGGAGTTTCAACTGGGTACAAATTGTATGTTGCATGGCATTAAATACTGTTTTCATTTATTCTAAATGGATTATTTTTCATATTTTGAAAATGACAAAAATAAGATAATGATTACATTATTGTAGAGTTGCAACCTCATACTATAATAAGAGATGTGAATGAGGCCATTATGTAGCTGTCATCATGTTGCCCCTTGTTTAAAAACCCAGATACCCCAAGCATTTGACTACAAATAAAATGTCGCTCTATTCAGAGAAGTTTCATTGTGTAGTGATTTTTTCAAAAATATTAGAACAGAGAAACTGCAGAGAACTGGCATCTTCAAGCAAGACGATTGAAAAGGGTAATGATTGTGAGAGAAAATTAACTCGCTCCTTCCTTTTTTTTCAGCTCTTAGAACTGTTTGACAGTGAAGATCCTCGTGAGCGAGAGTTTTTAAAAACGATTCTGCATCGCATCTACGGGAAGTTTCTGGGTTTGCGTGCCTGTGTTCGGAAACAAATCAACAACATATTTCTGAGGTACGAAAACACTTATTTTTACACTTATGCATATACACTGCCATTCAAAACTTTGATTCAGCAAGGATGCACAAAATTAAGTGACAGTAACAGCATTTATAATGTTAGAAAAAAATACTATTTCAAATAAATGCTGTCATTTAAACGTTCTATTCCACAAAAATGTTAAGCAGCACAACTGTTTTCAACACTGATAATAATAAGCAATGTTTCAGCATGTTAGAATGATTTCTGAATGAACGTGTCTGTATTTTTTGACATTTTTACGTGACTTTGTAATCTTTATGTAAAAAATGTTTTTTGCGTGTCAAAGTAATGCAAATACGTTGGTGAACTGCTAGTATAAACCATGTAAATGATTTGGATAAAGATTATCTGTGCATTATGAAATAAGATTTCCAAAAATGATAGCTGTGTAAAGTGTGTGAAATGCTTCAGGGTAAACCGTGTCAATTACTCGACTAACAGTAAGCTTTCCAAATCCAGGCAAAAGTATTACTAATAGTCAGTTACAGAATATGGAAAAATATTAAATTATATTTAAATAAATATTAAACAATTTCTGACTAGTTTATGAATGTTGAATAATGTACAGAAGAAAAAAAAAACTTTTGGATTGTATACTGTGCATTTAGTAAAAAAAAAATTTTTTATAAATTGTAATTTATTATGTTTATATTACATCATTTATTTATCATATTTTATTTGAAATGTAAATCGTTCATATCATAATTTTCCCAGATTCATCTATGAAACTGAGCACTTTAATGGAGTTGCTGAATTCCTTGAGATTCTGGGCAGGTGAGTCTTTGTTTGATTTTCTTTCAGGTTCTGTTCACATGGATCATTTAACGGAGTTAGTGCATTTGAACATAGCGTAGCGTCAGAGTGCATGCTGGGTAAAAGGTTGCTTGGCAGCTGGTGGCAGCAGCAGTGTATTGGTGTCGGCTGGCTGCAGTCATCTAATGTCAAACCTTTCATGCTTCATGTCATCAGTTGTGTCGCTGTCTTTATAATCGCAGTATCATCAATGGCTTTGCTCTGCCGCTGAAGGCTGAACACAAGCAGTTCCTCATGAAGATCCTCATTCCCTTGCACACTGCCAAAGGACTGGCGCTGTTCCACGCACAGGTAACCCTGTAAAGCCTACTGTGACATATCTGATACGCAAATAACCTCTAAAGCCCTCTAAATGATCAGCATGATCAAAACTGAAAAGCCTGTTGTACACAATCTACTACAACCAATCGAAGTGCCTTCTTTCCAACTTCAGGTCGGGATTTATGTGTCTTTTTGCTGTCAAATCTTTACAAACAAACGTACGAATAACTTCTACACTACACATCTTCATAACATCTGCACTTCCTGAACTGAAGTATGAAATCATGTTAAACTGTATAAAATATTATCCATCAGGCTTTTGAGTAATGCTTATCTCTCAGTTGTCATTGTATTGCACTGCATTATATGTTTTGCCCGCCACCACAATACAAACTATAGAGCTTTGATCATAAAACTAAGCATTTAAATATCATCTTACTAAGACATGTGTGACCCTGAAGCATGAAACCAGTCTTAAGTCGCTGGGGTATATTTGTAGCAATAGCCAAAAATACATTGTATGGGTCAAAATGATCGATTTTTCTTTTATGCCATAAATCACTAGGATATTAAGTAAAGGTCATGTTACATGAAGATATTTTGTAAATTTCCTATCGTAAATATATCGAAAATGTATTCTCATTCATTAGTAATATGTGTTGCTAAGGACTTCATTTGGATAGATTTAAAGGTGATCTTCTTAATATTTAGATTTTTTTTTTTTTGCACCCTCAGATTCCAGATTTTCGAATATTTTCATCTCGGCCAAATATTGTCCTATCCTCAATTTTAAAAAAAACTTGACCCTTATGACTGGTTTTGTGGTCCAGGGTGACGTATATTATCGGGAGATATAGACATTTATATGAATTTTATGTTAGTCTGTCATGCTGTTATTAAAGAGCTCATGATTTATATTAGAAGCTATCAAACTTTCATCTTCCGTTTGGCCATATAAATATCAGCAACTGCACCACATTTCATATTTTTGCAAATTTTGAGCCTCTGAATAAAAATGAGGCATCTTTTTTCATCCAAGTATGAGCTCCATATTCTCTTATAAATGCCTGTGATGTGTCAAAAATTATATTTAACAAAAACTTTCCATTTAAAAATATATATTCTTTCTGATACAGTTGCAGGAAAAATGCATGTGAACCCTTTGGATTTAGCTGAATTTCTGCTTAAATTGGTCATACAATTTGATCTGTTCCTAATGGCTGGAAAAAACTACATGACTTTTAAAATCTGGACAGCACTGGACACAAACTCAAGCAACAAAAGAGAATGAATGTTGAATAATGTACAGAAGAAAAAAAAAACTTTTGGATTGTATACTGTGCATTTAGTAAAAAAAAAATTTTTTATAAATTGTAATTTATTATGTTTATATTACATCATTTATTTATCATATTTTATTTGAAATGTAAATCGTTCATATCATAATTTTCCCAGATTCATCTATGAAACTGAGCACTTTAATGGAGTTGCTGAATTCCTTGAGATTCTGGGCAGGTGAGTCTTTGTTTGATTTTCTTTCAGGTTCTGTTCACATGGATCATTTAACGGAGTTAGTGCATTTGAACATAGCGTAGCGTCAGAGTGCATGCTGGGTAAAAGGTTGCTTGGCAGCTGGTGGCAGCAGCAGTGTATTGGTGTCGGCTGGCTGCAGTCATCTAATGTCAAACCTTTCATGCTTCATGTCATCAGTTGTGTCGCTGTCTTTATAATCGCAGTATCATCAATGGCTTTGCTCTGCCGCTGAAGGCTGAACACAAGCAGTTCCTCATGAAGATCCTCATTCCCTTGCACACTGCCAAAGGACTGGCGCTGTTCCACGCACAGGTAACCCTGTAAAGCCTACTGTGACATATCTGATACGCAAATAACCTCTAAAGCCCTCTAAATGATCAGCATGATCAAAACTGAAAAGCCTGTTGTACACAATCTACTACAACCAATCGAAGTGCCTTCTTTCCAACTTCAGGTCGGGATTTATGTGTCTTTTTGCTGTCAAATCTTTACAAACAAACGTACGAATAACTTCTACACTACACATCTTCATAACATCTGCACTTCCTGAACTGAAGTATGAAATCATGTTAAACTGTATAAAATATTATCCATCAGGCTTTTGAGTAATGCTTATCTCTCAGTTGTCATTGTATTGCACTGCATTATATGTTTTGCCCGCCACCACAATACAAACTATAGAGCTTTGATCATAAAACTAAGCATTTAAATATCATCTTACTAAGACATGTGTGACCCTGAAGCATGAAACCAGTCTTAAGTCGCTGGGGTATATTTGTAGCAATAGCCAAAAATACATTGTATGGGTCAAAATGATCGATTTTTCTTTTATGCCATAAATCACTAGGATATTAAGTAAAGGTCATGTTACATGAAGATATTTTGTAAATTTCCTATCGTAAATATATCGAAAATGTATTCTCATTCATTAGTAATATGTGTTGCTAAGGACTTCATTTGGATAGATTTAAAGGTGATCTTCTTAATATTTAGATTTTTTTTTTTTTGCACCCTCAGATTCCAGATTTTCGAATATTTTCATCTCGGCCAAATATTGTCCTATCCTCAATTTTAAAAAAAACTTGACCCTTATGACTGGTTTTGTGGTCCAGGGTGACGTATATTATCGGGAGATATAGACATTTATATGAATTTTATGTTAGTCTGTCATGCTGTTATTAAAGAGCTCATGATTTATATTAGAAGCTATCAAACTTTCATCTTCCGTTTGGCCATATAAATATCAGCAACTGCACCACATTTCATATTTTTGCAAATTTTGAGCCTCTGAATAAAAATGAGGCATCTTTTTTCATCCAAGTATGAGCTCCATATTCTCTTATAAATGCCTGTGATGTGTCAAAAATTATATTTAACAAAAACTTTCCATTTAAAAATATATATTCTTTCTGATACAGTTGCAGGAAAAATGCATGTGAACCCTTTGGATTTAGCTGAATTTCTGCTTAAATTGGTCATACAATTTGATCTGTTCCTAATGGCTGGAAAAAACTACATGACTTTTAAAATCTGGACAGCACTGGACACAAACTCAAGCAACAAAAGAGAACAATGTGTTCTAAAATCAGCTCAAAATATCAAACATGTTATATATCCTCTGACTCAATAGAATCATAATCCGAAACTAAATATTAAAAGAACATCCATCATACACTACACAATTCTCTGCCTGCCCAGAATCTGCAGCCTGGCTCTGATTTTGTTGAAACAAATAAAACACAAACGGGGGATAGATTTGAATGTCTTTATTCAACATACTGTGTCAGGGTTTGTTGATCCAGTTGCTAATAATTAATTAAAACGCTTACTAAAAAAGCTGCAGTTGCATAGAGTTGTTTTACATTTTTGGGATATGAATTCATAATCTCAGGTGGGAACTTCAATTAAATATTATGTGCGCTCTAGTGGCACTAGGTTAGTTTGTGAATCCTTGGATTGACCCTCCTTTGGCGGCAATTACCTACTAAACGTTTCATTTAAGTGAGGATCAGATCTGTGCAATGGTCAGGAGAAATAGCGCACTCCTGTTTACAACGTTTTTTTTATTTTGAAGAACAATCCAGATAAAATGCACATCACATTTCCCCCCTGCGACTGTATTTAGTTTTGTGCACTTCTTAGTTTTACAGTTATGGAAAACGTTCAAAGCAGAGAAATTAATCTGGTGATTTTATATGGCCAGTAGCTATTTAAAATTCATCCAACTTTACTTCCTATTCATAAGCATGCTGATATGAAAATATTTGGCAGGCTGATTGTTTGCACACACCATCTCTTCTTTAGTATCTACTGTTCACACTGACCCTTGACCTTGTTGTGTTTCAGCTGGCCTACTGTGTGGTTCAGTTCATAGAAAAGGACCCGACCCTCACTGAAGTGGTACTGCTCACCTCAGCCTCGCACTACACAGTCCTCCCATCTGAATTCAAAAATATGACTTATAAAAAAATTCCCACACCTGACTTTTGTAGGGCAAAATTATAGTCTTGTCCCAAATAGTAGTTAATGGTCTTGATGGCTGGTAGGTTTTTTGACAATTGGTCAAAATAACAAATGTTTTCATTTGCTGTGATTTGAAAATCAGGGTTATTCCACCAAATATTGATGTCTCAACTCTTCTGAAGTTAAAACATTGGTATTGTGTTGTCTAAAAATGAATCGAAACATGTCTAAACATGGCATCTTTTTTGTTACTTTGACCAATTGTCATTGTATGCAAAAAAAACAAAAAAAGTCATCAGTAGTTATAGAAGAAACCAAAAATTACGTTTTACTGAAATCGTGAATCCAGAGAAATTTTCAAGTGGTCTCTTAATTTTTTTTTCCCATAGCTGTATATTAATTATTGGTTCTGTTTTTGCACAAAATGGCAAATATTTCATTATACTATAGTAGATGATTTGTTTATGGTAGTATAATGCAGTGGCATGTGCTACTAATATGACTTCCAGTGCACTTATTACAGAGACGAAACCCAAAAGTTAAAGGGATGGTTCACCCAAAAATGAAAATTCTGTCATCATTTACTCGCCCTCAAGTAGTTCCAAACCCGTATAAATTTCTTTGTTCTGCCGAACGCAAAGGGAGATATTTTGAAGAAAGTTTGTAACCGGGCTGTTTTGGGGCACCATTGACTTCCATAGTATGAGAAAAAAATACTATGGAAGTCAATGGTGCCCCAAAACAGCCCGGTTACAAACTTTCTTCAAAATATCTCCCTTTGCGTTCGGCAGAACAAAGACATTCATACAGGTTTGAAACTACTTGAGGTACTTACTTGATCATTTACTACTTGTAAATGATGACGGAATTGTCATTTTTGGGTGAACTATCCCTTCAAGTGCCTTGATTGAGGCCACAATGGTGAATGTTTAAACCCCTCAAGCAGCAATTCATGAACTTATAAACTATACCAGATATGAAAGCACAAGGAACAGGTACTCATGCCACACTTTCTCAGACAGCAGAGTGTGAAGATGCTGAGGCGCTGTCGCTGGCCATCTGTGTATTTTTCAGCCAGTGTGATAATACGGCGGCTGTTGCTGGGTTTGGTTGAACAGTCATGTGTGAACAGTGACTTGATTCTGAGGACGTGCCGCCAACCGCAGGGAAGGCCACAGTTCATCATGAGCTTATGACCACTGCTGTCCGCCTGCAAGCAGGAATGAACTCTTGGCTTCACACAGGCATGAATCTCCAAGTTAGAGGAGGAATGAACTCTTGGCTTCACACAGGCATGAATCTCCAAGTTAGAGGAGGAATGAACTCTTGGCTTCACACAGGCATGAATCTCCAAGTTAGAGGGCGATGGTGTTGAAGGCAGAGCTATGAATGATATGGTACGATGAATGATACGTCATATTTCTGGGTTTGCAGAGTGTAAGTAAACCGCAGAGGAAATGGCATGAGACATCCATCTGACCCAATAAAAATAGCACAGCACCCGCACCGACACGATTTATCTGTCAACTACTCAAAGTAGACGAAATGGCCAAAATGTCAGTCCAAAGTTTGCATGCATTTCGAAAAGAAGAGGAATGAGAAATGAATTCTGGCGGTCAGAAGACAGGAAGGTGCCAAATGTACTGTTATAGTTGAAAGCTAGTTACCATTTATACAGTTTGTTCTTGTCAACACTACTAAACAATTGAATGTCACAGTTTGCATAATGCAGTGCTTGTGATGCATTAAAATACGACTATTTGTTAGCTTACAAAACTAGCTAGCTAACAAATTAGACAAAAAAATAAGCATATCCCCCATTGTAATTGAAGCAATGTCCCTCATAAAGTAATAATAATAGAAAAAAATATGAAATTCTATATAATGATGTTGATGATTATTTAATTAATGGTAGTAATTTATATTAGAAATAGAATAATAGAAATTCTTTATTATTATTATTATTATAACATTTTCCCTTTATTTTTTGTATTATTATTATTATCAACTTCTCAGTTGATTCTTAATTAAGGTTTTTTTTTTTAATGAAGTGAGGCCAGATTATTATTTTTTTTAATTCAAGATAATATTTTGTTTATTTATTTTTTATTTCATTTATTTATTTTTTTATCCTTTTTTGTTCATATTTATTTATTTCCTCCCTTCCTTTTCACTTGTTCTCACCATGAGTATAGCCATGGTGGCTTTGCGCAAAATTATAAACAAACAAACAAAAAAAAAACTTTCCCTGTATTTCACCATGTATATGATACATATTTTCTAGCTCAAGTTCATTAGAATCGCTACATTTATCAGATCGTTTCTGTTTCCTCTTAGGTGGTCCGTGGTCTTCTTAAATTTTGGCCCACAGTACTTTTGCCTTTTTTTCCACCTGAAATTGTTTGAAATGTTGAAATATCTAAACAAAATACATGTACAATAGAATTATATAATAATAATAATAGTTTAAGATAATACTTCTTGTTATATGGGAATATATCTTGAATTAATTAATTTATTTTTCTTAAGATATATTCTCTAAGAACTATTCTTATACAATCTGGCTTCTGAAGTTTTTACTGGAAAATAAGACAAAAATACTGACAAAAGAAAATCTGTTTGGCTCTGGAGGCTATGTTTAGAGACACATGAGCAAGCGTTAACAATTAAATGTCGGAAACCCTACCATGAATCTTGAGTTTGAAATGTATTTTACCATAAATGTGATCTGAGCTGGATATTAAGATTTGTTGCCTATAGTTCTAATGATACATAAGATATACTCCATGGAAGTGTCAAAAAATTAACCTTAGAAATGCAAAGAGTGAAGCACAAATGTAGTGAACCTGGTCAGAAACCCCTGTCCAAGCGTGAGAACATCAGAACAGAATCTGCAACTTAAAACTTAAAAAAAAAAAAGTTTTATGTTTCTCATAATACCAGCCTTGCATTATAAATGCAACATCTTTACATACTATATTTTATTAAAAACTTTGTTCTTTCAGGTCCACTGACCATGCATTTCACAGGTTGGGATTAAAACAAACAGATAATTCTTAGATGTAACTTAACTCAGGGATAACTAACATTCCCCACATATTATAGAATGTTGGGGTTTTTTGATGTTGTTTATTTTCTCAAAAACAGAAAAATTCATAATGTTTAAAGAAGCAATAGATATTATAAATGAGACTCACTGACATTCCATTCGACATTCTATTGTTTTGTTTCAACCAAAAATGTTAGGTTCTCATGTTTTTTTTTGTTTTGTTTTTTAAATCTTTTTTTTTTTTTGTGAGAATGTGTAAAATAACCTTGTTGTAATGTGCTATCCTGCATTAAAATGCCAGGCTGATGTTTCATTGTTTTCTTTTTTGTTTTGTTTTCCCCATGTCATATTAGTGGTCTGTATGTGTGGCTGTCCTTTACTGCCATACAGTCATTACAGAATGCAGTCACCAAATATAAAACCAGTTATCTGAGTGTACCAGCAGGTGATTAATATACTTTTTCACATATGTACATGTGTGTATGTTGTATGATTTAAAAAAGTTACACGGTGTAAAGTTTGAATCTAAATAAGTAAACTGATGGGTCACATGGATGATTAAGACACAAATGTTACAGTTGAAATACCCACTGCACATACAATTTCTATTTGTATTATTTTTAGCTGTAATATTAAATTCATCATGATATTAAAAAAGGAAAAGGTTTGCTATAATGCTCTTTGTAAACTAAAAGAGAACTTATTTCTACAATAGATGAATGTTTAAAGTGCAGTGTTTTTAAAGTGTTCTTATCAGATAAAATATATTTTAGGTTTCATTTATTAACACTTACTCTGATTGAGTGTTGACAATAGATCGATATACAGCATTTACATTTGTTGTCCTGCAGCCAATGACGTTCTGTTTTCTTCAGTCCTCCACAACATGCAGAAGTTTATGCTTGGACCGGAAGTAAGCGACCGGCTCTTTTAAAGGGGACATATGATGCTTTTTTAAAGAACATTATTTTGTGTATTTGGTGTAACAGAATATGTTGACATGCTTTAATGTTCAAAAACACATTATTTACAGTAGCTGATTCAGAAGCGCCAGATTGTCATAGCAAAGTCAGAATGACCTCCTCTCCTAGGTTCACGAAACGGTCGTCCATAAAATGCATTGCTGTTCTGTTGTAAGTAATCTTAAAGATTCCTAAATGCATCTACTTCTGGAAGGCCAAATAAAGTGCTTTTGCTTTCGCCTAGAAACACACAGCGTCTCCCTGACATGCTGCTTCAACACTAACTGCGGTTACTGAAACCATGCCTTCTTTCTTTGTGTGCACATTTGGGCGGCATTATGCTAATATTTCCACATAGTGAGGTAGATATGTGGGGGCGTGTTAGAATGAGCTGTTTTAGGGGGGCGTGGCAGAGTCTTAACTTTGATAAAGAATATCTCTTTGGATTTGAGCCTTTAGTCTTTGCAACTTCAGGGATCTTATCTATGCACAATCAGCTTGTAACACTCCAAAGAGAAAGGAAACTTGAAATAGCATCATATGACCCCTTTAAAGGTGGGGTAAGCGATTTCTGGTAGCCAATGTTGACATTTGAAATCACCAAAACAAACACGCCTCTACCCCAAAAGTGTCTCGCCATTATTTTGATAGCTCCACCCCACACATATGTACGCAACCCAGGCAACGGATTAGTTCTGTGAAACAAAGCAAAACTGCTGCTGCGTTCCATTCGTGACGTATTGACACAAATTTCTAATAATTTTCAACGGTCGCTTTGTCACGTCCAGTGTACTAGACAGACTTTAGCTGTTGCGGCGCAGACACGTGTTACTCACCTATCGAAAAGAAACAAAGCAACCTTGGCGTCCGATCGCAGGCCTTCCGCTCCTTGAGTTCTCTCCAGCGCTGGAAACCTGATCCGATATTTACACAGGTCCTACTTCTTGCCTTATTTGCCTTAAGCCTTTTTTTGTTCCGCAGATGTTTTCCTCTTTTGTTTTTTATCCGCCATCTCTATCTTTCTGTTGCTCGGCTCGGCTAATGTCCGAAGTTAGTTACTGCTGATTGGCTACAATTTTGTTTTGCTATTCGGCCCGAATGGGTTTTCTAAAGTGTTTTTGAAAAATCGCTTACCCCACCTTTAATTATCTGGTGAGTTCCTGTCATGACGCATGATGGAAGCGGTGAGCTGCTTTAATCATGGAGACTTTGAAATAAAGGTCAGTTAGCAACGAGAGATTAATTCATCACAAATGCTAAATGTCATCCTCTGATGATGAGCTGTCCATTTGTTTAAATAATTAATTGCAGTGTTAGTATGGCTGCCATCCATCCTGTATGCATAATCACACAAATTCCCCAAGACCAGGGATCTCCAAACTCCCCAGCGTCATAAGACATTGATGCGTTTAAATTTTGGTTGCGACGTCAGCCAAATTGTACCTTTAGGGCACTATTATGCACCCTTTAGGAGTAAATAAGCCGTTTCTGAGTTGATTGATGAAAGGTTTATCTGATCTGTTGTTTGTGGTATGTCTCATTCCTCCATGTCTTGCCCAGTGTAGTCTCTAAAGCACACTTTTTTGTTATGTGTCTTGTCCAGAAGGTGGCGTCTCAACCCTGCTAGTGTGTCCACATGATGGCGTTTCAGGAAAGTACAGTAATCTAGCAGTTTTAGAAACAACACCTTACCACTACCGAAAAATATTAATGGGATGAGCAGAGGACGCCACCTACTGGCTGAAAAACGAATTAAAAGCTTGATTGGTCACCAGGCAGATAGTTATCCACTCTGTTCTAGCATTGTGCAGTTCAATAAATGAAACTCAAATGCTCTTAGATTCACAAGATATATTAAACTCTTTAACATCAATTTTGGTTCATTTTTAAAACCTATTTTAGATGCTATTTTACCATTTATTTTAAGTTTTCACCACATTTAATCACCATTTCACTAGTTCATTTCAGTAGTGTGAAGTGACAAAATGAAATTTTATTGAAAGTATGAATTATAGCTACAGTTAGTAAAATGCTGCGAAAAGGGTTTTAGATGTTTGTCATGTAACACTGCAGGACAAGGTATCAAGCTATTCTGATACTTTGTAAAGTAAAGTTTTTAATTACACTTACAGGTGCATCTCAATAAATTAGAATGTCGTGGAAAAGTTCATTTATTTCAGTAATTCAACTCAAATTGTGAAACTCGTGTATTAAATAAATTCAATGCACTTCGTCTCTGGTGAAACTGATTGCAGGGATATAAGATCCAGTTCAACCGTATTAATAAGCACAAATTACTCTAGACAACATTTGTGTCTGTTTATTGCTGAAGTGTGTTGAAATTTCTTCTTCTGCATTCTACTGTATACGGACGAAAATTTACTTTCCCTTCAGCCTGAGGCTTATTCATTTCACTGTTGAATTGAACAAAATAGAACTTTTTTATTTTAAAAACAAACAAGCAAGCCCTGTCCAGATTTAAAAAGTAATGCAAAAGTATCGTAACGCATTACTTTCCATAAAAAGTAACTAAGTAATTAGTTACTTTTTTATGGAGTAACGCAATATTGTAATGCATTACTTTTAAAAGTAACTTTCCCCAACACTGTTAAGATGTGTGCATATAATTTTCAGTTTATTTACTTTGTTGTTAGTTAGTTAGTTACTTAGTTAATTAGTTTTAGTTTACTATAATGATCCTGCTTTAAATATGTTTTATTTTTACCACCTTCTGGGTTCCTGAGTAACAAAATGCTCAGTGACACTCAAGAGACTGTCATTTCTGTATTTCACATTTCATAAATAGTCCAATCACTGTAATTTCACTGTAATACATCTTTTTTTTTTAAATTGATTAAACCAAAATATGAAAATATTAGATAAAAGCTGTTATTTTTCTCTTTGGACAGCAAAATTATGCCATGTCATCTGCCCTTTTTTATTGTATTATATAAGCAGCTATATTTTATTCTATATTATAGTACCATATATAGTAGATTTTAATTAGCAGGGATCTGTTTCTCATTTCCTGCATGTCAAGTATATCTAGTGAAGGACCCCTGTGAGTCAGCAGACGTCAGCCGTTCCCCTCAGAGTCGCTATATTGATGCTCTCAGAAACCCCATTGCTTTCAATTAACCTTTTGCTTTAGACCACTGACGCAAATGCAAACAAGATGAGAGGATTTTTGAATGTTTCATCAAGGTTTGTTTGCAATAAAAAGCAATAAAACCCGACTGGGCAGCTGGTAATGCTGATGAACCGCTAAGTTCTATGGTAACGTCAAATATGACATGTTTTGGAAATTACACAATTAAACATGTCTTTATTTTCTGTCTTAATTTGGTAGATGATACACAAAGGTAGTTATTTTGAGCTACATTTAGGGCTAACTA